CGGAGACTCATCACCCTATTGCCTTCTTCATTGGTGCGCCCCTCCCTCTTATAAGCGGAGAGATGGGCTGAGAGCGTAGCTATTGCGGAAAATGCAGTGATTATGAGTTTCTGCCCATCCGGTTGCCTTTAATGTACAGCTCTGTCCGCTGCGGATGACGGGGCGTGTCAGTGAAGCGGGGTATGACTCGCGGCCAGCCCATCGACAGCCAGTTGTTGAAGCGGGTAAACGACAACCATTAGTGGAAACCACTGATACGAACAATATGATACATCTTGTCGCTTGACGAAAGAGACAAGGAAAGGAAGTGGGATAGCGCCGCGGCTAACCCAAACCTCTCCCCCATCATCCGGGCTGTATACGCGTCGATGCGGTGGGCTGAAAAGCAAGAAAGGGTCAGTTGTGGAGTTAGCTATAATGTGGCTGAAAAATTATGCAGTTCTTCTGAACTTTACTGAAAGTTATTCCAAATAAGCAAATCCTATTATGAAAGTATTTTAAATTTGATGAAAAGCCTCCTGTTCCGTCTCTCATTTCACAAGCTGATGTTAAGGTTCTCGACGTGCTGTCCTCATTATGCGAAGGAAACGGCATGGCGGTAAGGAGCAGTCAGAATCTGATCACTTCCTACCTATTACCTGGCAAGGATCTGCTGCTACAAACAGCAATGAGGGACCACGTCAGCAGGTCGTTATTGACTGAGCATGATTTGAGACAGCTTGCTAGTGGCGATTATTTTGTCGTCTAATTTCAGCATGATGCCGAACGTTCTCGTAGGTGTGGTCGATGGCTCGGCCTTTATTCCGGCGCTGGTATTTCGAGGCCGAAGTCGAGCACATTGAGAAAATGACGAAAGAGGTAGTGCTTTTAATTAACACCCCATGTTGCCCTTTTGGAGATTATCTGTGCTACTGAAATGCTTCAGGATCCATATCTCCGTATCGGTTGGGCTAATAGCGTCGGCTTTAAGCCATTCCCAGGATCTGGTGATAAGTGAGTCATTTATTTCAAGAACTTG